ACAAGCCTGGGATACTTACAAGCACTGGAGAAAAAATCCCTCCAAAACTCTCTCACCCACACCAGAAATCACCATAAATGCACACCTCTTCGACCCCCTGGTCGAACCTTCTCAAATTAGCCTTCTTCTCTTCTCTACTCTCTCTCCAAACTGCTCTAAAAACCACCTTGAAATCGTTGTTGAACTGCTCTGAAGTGTATTTAAAATGTCCATAATTCAGCACTGGCCCCTAGGTGCCACTCTATTATGGCGCATGGTCGTGGCCTTCAGGATTGGGTCATGACGCCCAGTGGTTGGCGCTTAGGCGCCAACCTCTCGGGTTGCATTTTACTGGACTGGCTCATAAGCACCACAAAGCGCCAACCTCTCGGGTTGCATTTTACTGGACTGGCTCATAAGCACCACACTGATCTGGCGCCTGGTATTGCCCTTTAGAACTAAAGCCATGGGACCCAGTGTTTGGCACTCTAGCACCAAGCTCTCGAGTTCTAGGCTTGATTGACTCCTAGTTCTTGGCACCATGGCCCCAGCCTTCACAAACTACATTTCTTCAGATCTTCTCCTTTTCACTCTGGGTTTCTTCTACTTTGTTCCACTCCTAATATTTGTTATATCTGTAAGAAAAATATACAAATATCTTTCTTTAAAGTGTAATTTCATTTAAAAGGATTTGTAAAATATAATAGAATTCATGCAATCTTTTCACACATCAGAGTGGAAGCCCAAGATCAAGAAATCCTTTGATATAGTGTAATACTCTTTTGAGTTGTTAAAAATGTATGCAAAATGGATAATGAATGTATTGTGAAACTTGGTTAACAACAAATGATATATCTAGATCTGGTCATGTTACTTGACTCCTATATTTGCGTGTTTGGCCACTTGCAATGCATAAACTTTTCAGCCATCAGTGACATGACATCGATTGTGTCCAGATCTACTTACACATGTCAAAAGTGATAGCATGGAGCTGGCGCAATGCTATTATGGGGCACCATAATGACGTTGATATGACAAGTGCCATATCGGATAACAGGATAAAGTTTCTATCCCAAGGGGTTAACATAGATAATAAGGCTCCATAGTGTCGACATCATTGGGCATCATTATCGGTGTCCAATTAATCGCTACCCTTGAAACCAAAAAGTTAACTTTGGAGTGCCACAGGTTGAGCCGTGGTGTTACCATGTTGAACTGCAAATTTGTCTTGTGGCATCATGGCCCAAAACATCAACAATAACCTTTGATAATGCAGTGGCGCCATCAATCAATTTTGATGCATCTATCAAAGTGGTGATCTCAATGCCTCGGGACTGGGCTTGGGCACTGAGGCATTGAGGGTAGGCTTGAGGAACTAAGGGTGGGCACTGTGGCACCATAAGATTGTGCGGTGACCTTGAAATTAAATTCTAACATGCCCAACTCTCGTGTTCCTCCATGTTGTGGTGCTACAAAGCTAGGTCGCAATACTAGAGCTATGGTGTCATGGCGACATGCTAAAGTCTAAAGTTTTATTAGTCATTTCTATCAAGAAGCTTAAGCACAATCACATTTGAATATCCAATTCATTCGTTCATAGAAAGCTTAAAGCAAAAATGAAGTTCAAAGTACTAAGTTTCATTAAAATTCAAAAGCTCCTTACAACCACAATTACAATAGGCCCTTTATGAGCACAATATGAACACATAGAAAATAATGAAGAAATAAAATGGAAGCCTAATATTTTGCTCTCATATAGTCGACGACACCACAATCATCATAATCATCATCATCATCGTCATCGTCACCACCTATTATAGCACTTTGCTAACCTCCAAAAAAATGTGTATGACAGATGATTGTGGCAGCTAGTAATTTACCACCTGAATTAGTGTCCAAACACTTGGGTCTTCCAGTGAACTATTGAGCATGCCAAGCAAACTACTGGTTGTGCTGATAATCCAAGTGACTGACAAGACAGCAAAGGGTAGTGTCTCTTCCTTGAAGCTCCTAGATCTATTGGTGATAGAGTGAGAGTGGGAAGATGATGTAGGAGGAGAGAAGGGAGTCATTTTTGGAGCTCTTGAAGGATAAGATGCTATCTTTTGTATCTTTTGGAGCTCTTGAAGGATAAGATGCTATCTTTTGTGATTACACCCTTAGGGTAGATTCACTCCTCCCATTTTTCTTCCTCCACACCATCGCTCTCGCAAAGTACATAAATCGACGTCGGGTGCTCAATCTTGATGTTATGTTGCTATCGACCATGTATATAATGAAGCTTACAGTACTTTGATTGATGTTGATCATAAGCTTTTTATTTATCTCATAATTTAGCATAGCGTTCTCTCGGGTCACCTCGCTCACGTGTAAGCTTGGTAAGAGACTTGTGAAGATGAATAGTGTTAAGCTTTAAATTCAAGGGTGAGGGTGTAAGAAAGGAAATTAAGAAGTTTTCACTCTTGTTCCATCCATTGAACCAAAGAGTTTACATGCGTTATAATGCAAAAATAGCATCAAAGTTCAGCTCATTATCCAGGAATTCAGTGTACTTATCAATGACATATCTGATTTTGTTGTATTCCACATTGATGGTGGAGTGATCTAAGGGACCCACTTTCCTCTTACATAAGCCCGATGATTCGTGTCTTCATGGGGTTGGTCATGAATCTATAAACCATGGAGACTAGCATCATGTAGGGCTAAAAAATGAGTGGAGCCCAACCTTAGCTTATAATTTTTTGCTCTACCAAATCTCCCAGACTAAAAATCTCATGTTCTAGAAAAATCTTATTACTCTTAAGGGAGTCTCCATGCTTGAATTATAATATTGAGTGAATCTCCATTTCTTACTTAATGAAATTGACTTGACTTACAAAACTACATTAACCTATTAGTGGTTTTAAGTGCAGTTTTCAATATTTAAAATTTATCAAAGAATGGAGGCAAACAAATTATCAAGAGTGATATCGAAGCTTATCCTTTCCTCTCTTAAAGAGTGATCATTTTATTTTTTTTTTCTTAATACTTACCCATCATTGATGAGTTGATACTCAATAATACACAAATGTTCTTACATGGAATCTAAGGAGGAACTTGACTCTATATTTTCATGCAATGTTGTCTAGTGGACAATGTGACACTAAACCAAATATAGAGTCGTTGAAGGAGTGACATCACAAGTTTTTCAAATATGAGGGATAATAATTTGGGGCAATTTACTTTCAGTACTTGTACTTGCTACAATCACTGATGTTCTCTTCTCAATAATCTCAACAAATTGCCCTCCTTGTTTTTTTTTCTATGCCACCTCACTTGAATCACTCTAGTTTTATTCATTAGAATTTTAGAATGGAAATTTTCTACTGAAAAACTATCAAGAGGAATCTCCATAATTTGTTTCCATATATTTAGTACATGATGGTAGGAGTTAGACGCCAAATACATGCAGACTATATCATTTGACTATGTTAGTAATAACTTAAAAGCTCACTCAAAGTTATATGCATTGTAGGTCACTTTATTGTGATCAATATCAAAAGTAACCTTTCTTAAATAAAGGAAACTAATCAAGCTTACTTTTAAGGGTGACTTGCTATTGCTTAGCTTTCCTTGTTGAAGGGTCCTAAATACTCTTTGGTTCCATCTCTTTGTAAATAATAAAAAAAAACTTATACAAAATATAACATTTAACAATTTTCACATCATTTCACTTTTAAATAAAACAAAATTACCTAAGGTGGAGCCTTTGGTCAACAATTAGGCTCGTTGTCACAATGACAATACGAACATGAAGATTAATGAGTATCTCAATAAGCAGTCATAAATTGGGATCAAGATCGGTTTTTTTTTTCTATTCATTCTATCCCTCATTAAGGATAAATTTTGATATTCGTATAACCATATGATTTTAAAAATCTAGTCGGACTCCTTAGTTTGACGGTTCAATCATGAACTAGTCATTCGACAAGCTTGATTCAAATTCAGAACTGCTTTTGCATATGATCGAATCAATCAAAATCCAGGGTGAACTAGTGAAACGTTGAACCGATCCAATTTTAAAAGAACCAGTTAGTTCTAATATTATACTATATTAACATTTTGATTTTGATCAAATGACTAAAAATAAAATATTTATATTAAAAATAAAAATAATATCATATCTCCAAATTTTATTTTAAAATATTATTTAAATTATTTTAAAATTAAAATACTTAGATTTATTAAATGGATTAAAATAATAGTATTATATTATTTAAATTGTATTAAAATAAATCTATTATTTATTATATCATCTAATTTATTTTAATTTAATAATTGAACTTTAAACCCAATTCCATCATCCTGCT